AAATATAAGTGTATGTGTGTATATACCTGCAGAATTATACACATATATAAATTAATATAACTATTTCCATTCCAATTATTCTTTGAGGACTTTTTAAAAATAATTTTAAAGATTCTTTTTAAATAAATCTCATTCCATGTGCTTACACTGGTCTTCCGAAGCTTCCAACTTTCCTTATAAATCTGTCCGATTCCTTATCCTACTGAATACTACGTTTAAGTTGACCGTGGCTTAAACAGGAAGGAGTAAACTAACTTTATAAAAAGTTTCTTTTCCAAGATTTATTTTCGTCATTAGCACTGAACAAATAACAGAAATATTGTTGTTGTGCCGGTTAAAATAGGCTTTGGTAAAAAAAAAAAAAAAATTAAAAATTACAAAGAAAAGAAACCCTGGTGCAGTAATCGAGAAAATAACGTCTTTACCATTCAGTTGAACGCTTCTTTTCTCAACTTACTACACACTGCGAACTTGATATTAAGTATTACTGCCCTTGTTTCTTTTATTTGCCTTCTGTGAAATTAATACACCAATAAAAATGAAATTAACTATTAGTTGCTAAAATAATCAAGGCGCTGATAAGTTTTAAAACAACCATATCTTGTTAAAATGTAATAAAAATTTCAATGAATACAGTTTGCTTAATTTTGTTATTTCAAATGACTTTAACGCATCAATGTTATATATATATATATATATATATATATATATATATATATATATATATATATATATATATAATATAATATAATATAATATATGTGGTCTGAGGATCGCATACGCCGACGGTCATAAATCCATTCAACTAATTATAAAATTATGAAATGGGCAATTATTTTAATATATTTTTTGTTTATGCGATATTTTTATAGGTACAAATATTTAAGTAAATGGTCTGTTTATAATAACCTGTATCCCACACAGAAGTGTCATATATTCTGACGCGCTATACTATTTAGCTTCAGAGGAAGTGTATGGTATAGAACGTCAGGCTATATGACGGTTCCCTTTAAGATATAGGTTCGATTCATGTCGGAGGACACATATTTTCTTTGAGATTTCTCGGACATTCAGGATGGTAAATATTGTTAATACTGTTTATTATATACAGAGCATTTACTTAAAGATTTGTATCTATAAAAATAATAAAATGTATTTACTATGAGATGAGAAGTCTTAGCACATCTCACTTCACAAAATCATTATTCTAATAGCTTAAAATCACATTACATCATATTTGGAATTTGGTAAAGCCGAGAACTTGTCGACACCCTAAATTGACTAATTTTATAAGATAGTAAACAAGAAGCATCATTTACACTATTTACATTGTTGGGACTGTTGTCCTCATCGTTATTGTCAATTTCCCGACGTTTCGGCCGTTTTACGCTCCGGACTTAATCAGGTGATATACGTTGGAATTCTGAATCGAACCCTTTATTTAGTCCAAAGGGGAATATTTTTCTCGTTTCACGTCTTTTCTGGATATCTAAGTTTAAGTTGCGATTAGACAATAAATTGCCAAGAAGAGTCGTATAGTGTGCATTTCAGAAGATGGAAAAAGTTGTAGCTGACTGAAGGTACACAAATCGATACCCGATCGGCTGGGTCACCGTGAAGAGGCGGTATGATGTTGAAAGACCCGATACCCCTAATGAACCACGGCTAGAAACATCACTGATGATGTGTACTAAAGCATCCAATGGATGTATTTTACGAAATTCTTTAGTAACTCAATTCTCCAAGTTTTATTTCACCTCTGCTTTGACCAGGTATTGAATTCCCAACTATTTGGGTCAAATCACTGGATTAATTCAACCAACGCTGGACCATGTGTCTATCTCAGTGGACTAAATAAAGGAAACAGTTCGAAATTCCAACGTATATCACTTGAAGAAGGCCGGAGTGTACAACGACTGAAACGTCATAAAGATAAGGACAACAGTCCGAATAATGTAAATAATCTAATTAGTTACAAAACCTCATTTCAGAAATATAGACAGAGAAAGAGGCATCATGATTTAATTAAAAGGAAACAAACACGCAGGAGTCAGTTTCAGAAAGTGACATTTCATGGAGAAGCGCTGTCTGCGTGAAACGTCTTACATTTGGAATATGGAGAAAATGAGGATGATTTGATTCCATTAAAGTGGCATGACGTGTCATAGCTGCCATGTTTTTTTTAGATTGCACAAATAAAAGAAATCTCTTTATTTAACAGGATAGAGTAAAAGTCCTTATTACCTTTATGAGTTTCTTTCTTCACTTATTAAAATTGGGTTACCACCCAATTTTAATAAGTGAAGAAAATCCACCGTGACAAACTTTGCGACTCAAAAAGTTCCGTATGTATTACAGGTTGGAGAGGCCAGTTTTCAATTTTGGATAAAAACCAAGATTTCGAATAAACTTATGGATGGTCAGACATCATTATTTGAAATATTTGGCGTAACACAATCTTTTAACATCCATTTTCAAGTATGGCGTACAGAGCTATAAATTAGAGTATCCGGGTATCTGATTATGGGATGTCATAAGAGATTCAACTTTGAAAGTCGCTTTCTGTTGCCCTTTCATACAAATGTAATATGTGTCACTTAGGATCAGGCAGAATACACCGCGCTGTCAAGTATGACATCACAGATGAGTTGGGTGCAGGAATCACATGAGCTGAGATGATTTTATAGCTGCCGAATGCAGAAACAACGCGATCGGCTCAGCTGCATCTGGGATACACACGTGAGAAAGAACCGTTTGAGAGGTAAATATATAAACGCTCACATATAGAAGAGAAGCAGTAGTTTCTAGCAGACAATACACTAGACAATAGGAGGTCTACGTTTTGGATGAGGGTCAGGAGCCAAAAAGGCCGAGGGCAGTTGAATAAGAACGAATAAAATGCATATGTGTCTTCTGTTCTCATTTGTAATATATTTTATTACACTTTTTCTTTTTTAGCTAAGTAAAGTACTGATCTGATTGTTTAGCGGCATATCAACACTTTATGGGTCATTTAATGCCGATATTTAATTTTCTTGAGAGCACTAGTAATTTCTTTTACAAAGATGTATTTCTGGTAATATTAACTTTACCTTATTTAATGTATGGCTAAAATTTTTAAAAAAGTTTACAAAAATATATTGCCGGTAATTTTTTTTTTTACTGGAAAATGTATTGCTGATATTTTATATTTTTTTTTATACTTCCATCGTGTTTTGACCCCAGTTTGGCTGTCAGCTATTTGCCCATAAATGGGACCCTAACAAGTGCTACCACCCCCGAGCAATTAAAAAGTGGTTCCACGCTTCTGAAAACTTCCCTTGCTGTCGGATGTATTTTGTCGTAATACCCAGGACTGGCAAAGTACTAAAAACATTACTACCGAAATGTTATGTAATAGAGGTTCTTCTCTATGACAATGAATGTTGAACGATCTCCTCACCTATTAAAAAGAAGCTTGAGGTAATCGTAGTTCTGCAGAGGGATGCTAACTAAACCAGACTGTGAACATATGAATAACTTAAGGAAAATTAGGAACGAAAAGGACGCTCATACTTGGATACAATAAGAGACAATTGAAATTCAAAGACACATAAGGAGGAAAGAGGGATTGGAGAAATTGACACTCAGAAGATATTGAGGGCAAAAGGAAAACAGCTAGTAATTTAACGTTCTCGTGTAAAATGAAAGCGAATAGTGTCAGTAAAGAATAGATAAAAGGAAAAAAAAACCTTTACGTAGAGCTACAAATGATAAGTTCCAGAAAGCCATAATCCCCAACTATCTACAGGGACATAGTGCATAGAATAAGGAAAAACAGTATTTACTACATCCTTTACAACTGATTTAATCGAATGCAGTTACCGCTTTGTTGTCTTCAGAAATGTTTTCTCAGCAGCCGGTTTTTTTTGGGACACAAATTCAGCTTTTTTTTTGTGAATTTCAGTTTTCAGCGCATGCACCAATTGAGTTTTGGGAAAATTTGGCCAGATTTGCCTTCCTACTCAAACTTCTTGCAGAACGCCAATGGTAAAACCAGATATGCTTGTGTGACTGGTGATGGGAAATTTCAAGTACCTTTCTTAAATGGATCAGTGTAAAAATATATGTGGGGAATTGTCAGAATACAAGACCGAAGCTTTTGTCGGCTTTTCTTGGTAGCATTTTCCCCCACTTGGCCTAAGCGCATTTTAAAGAAAAGAAGAAACAAAGTAATTTCAAAATAGATAAGTAAGCAAGCAAGTGAAAAAAAAAAAGAAAAGAAAAAGGAATTAAAAGGAAAATGAGAAAGATGGGGAAAAGGTGGGCGAGAAAGAAGTTTTAGGAAAGAACTGAAAAGAAAAACAGAATAAATGATAAAGTACACTGAAATAGCCGAAGACAGGAAGGAAGACTACGTGGGAAAAATAATTGAACTACAAAAGATAGAGTCAAATATAAGCAGAAACAAAAAAAAAAAAAAAAAGGCAGGCAAAGCTAGCTCGAAAGAAAAACAAAATAGCAAGAACTACGATAGAGAGAGAGAGAGAGAGAGAGAGAGAAGGGAGGAGAGAGAGAGAGAGAAACCAGAGTGTAAACAAAAAAAAAGAAAAGAAAAAAAAGCAACAGAGAGAAAACAACGAAAGAGAGAAACAGAAAAATGAAAAAAGAGAAATAAAAATAGAACGATAGAAAAAAAAAAGATACGAAAACTAGAAGAGAAAGATAGATAAAAGAGAGAAGTATATGGGGAAAGTAACTAGAATGAAGAGAGGGAAGAAAAAAAAAAAAAAAAAAAAGCAACAACACTGAGAAAAAATAGAAGAACTCAAGAGACAAAAACAAGACAGAAAATTAACTAAACGTATAAAAAATCGAAAGACTGATAGTAAAAACCATATAAAAAGTCGAAAATACAAAAAGAAAAGAAAATCTTCGGTCAACTTAATTCCTGATTTGTCTAGAAAGATGGCGACTGGCGCTGGTTGTCCTCGCTCTGAAAATTCGCAGAGGAGGGAGAAATGTATGTCAGCGCCCTCTGCTGTCAACTACTGGCAACGCTACCACCTATGTTTATCGATTATTTTCTCCTAGCGGAAACTGGTTTCTCACCCCCTCACTCCTCCTCCTCCTCCTCCTATTCACAATTTAACCTCCTCCTCCTCCTCTTCTTCTTTCTCATCCTGCCCCTCTTCCCTGCCTGCAACTCATTTCTGTTTGACAACGTCACCGGTGCCTGCCTGCACTCAGCCCATACCGAACCCTTAACGCTCATACTGTTCCCCGCCTTCTGGAATTTTTACAGCTTCTTCAATTTTTCTTTTTTTTTCTTTTTTTGTCTCATTTGCATACTTCATTCGCATATGTGGATTTCGTGGAAGAACATTAAAAAACCATTTTTTTTAAACTTATTTTTCCTTAAAACAAAAAGAAAAGGAATTTATTTTATGTTTTTTTCCATTAATCTTTCTGTTTTCTTTTTTGCACTCATTCGTTTTGTTTCTCTTTCGTCTTATTTGTTCGTTTCTCTTTTTCTCTTCCTTCTTTCTTCATTTATTGGTTTTCCTTCCTTTCTTTCTACTTTTTCTCTCCTTCTCCATATTCCTCCTCTTTTCATTAGCGTCTTTCTTCTTCAGTGTTCTCCTTCCTGTTAATTTCTTCGTTCACTTTAATAATTTTCCCACTTTCCTTTTACTTTTCTTTTTCGTCTTTAGTTCACTTATCCAACCCTTTCTTTATTTTTTTAATAGTTTGCCTCTTTTTTAATACGAGGTAATTTTTCTTTTTTTTTTTCTCTCTCTCTCCACCAACACTTTTTCTTTTCATTATCGGCATTTCCATTTAAGTTTCTCTTTCACTTTCATCTTTTTTTCGTACTTCTTCGTTGAGCGTTGAGTTTTTGCTATCTTTGCTTTTTTGTTATTTTGATAGCACAGTACCCATAAAAAATGACGAGTTGATTTGCATACGAATCGGCGCATCTGTCTCGGATCAATGTCATATCAATGTGCTTTGCCCATCTGAATATTTGTAAGCTGATTTTATCTTACTGTTAAAGCAACAGAACGCTGGTGTAGTGGATATGTAGCTTGCTTGCTTAGCTCCAGGTCGGGCGTACAAATCAAGGCAGTAATCACGTAGTAATTTTATAGAAGGTGATTTTCTAAGCGTAGCTTAAATGTAATGCAAGGCCAATGGGGTACACAGTGAGGATCGAACTCCTTACTCACTCATAATTGATCTGGCGAAACAAACTTAATAACCATTACACTACATCGTAATGCCCAAGGGATATTCTAAGCATAGCTTAGATGTGGCACAACGTCGAATGCACCCAGTGAGGATCAAACTCTCTACTCAGTCATAACTGATCAAGCGAGACAAGCTTGCTAACCATTACACCATTTTGAAGGACCCTAAAATGATTTTCTCATCATAGTTTAGATGTGGTAGAAAGCAGAAAAGATGGGGGAACCCAGTGAAAATCGAATTCCCTATTCAGTCGTAATTAATCTAGCGAAACAAGCTTGCTAACAATTACACTCTGTTTAAGTGCTCGAATGATTTTCTAAGCATAGCTTAGATATTGCACAAGGCCGAAAGTGTGGAGCACCCAGTGAAAATCGAACTCACTACTCAGTCGTAACTGATAACTTTAGGTGTGTATCGTTTTAGACTGACAAAACTTTCAAAGACAGGCGGATGCATAAAAAGGCACGCAAAAAGAAAAGAAAAATTAAAAGTAAAAGGAAAGCTATTGGGAAAGCTATTAAAGTGAATGAACAAATTAAGAAGAAGCAGCTAATGAAAAGAGAGAGAAAAAGGAAGGAAAGAGAGAGAGAGAGAGAGAGAAAAAGAGTAAAGGAAGAAAAGGAAAGAGAGAAAAAAGGAAAAGAGAGAAAGAAAAAGAGGTATGCAAAGAGAGAGAGAAAGAGAGAAGCAGAACATTCAGTTATCTTCCTGATTAGTATGAATGTCCTTTTTGTTTCCATTTTCTTTGTGACTTCTTCGTTTCTTTCGTGCTCGCTTCATGATATTCTCATCCTCCTTCTGTAGAGCTACATTTTTGTTACTTCACAATCTTCACAGAATTTGTTAGGAAATTGTCCAGTATTCATTGAGGAGGATTGATATTAAACAGAAGTTCAGCACTCTTCAATGTTGCTAACGACATTTTCCTGTTTCTTAATAATATTTGTTTTTGAAAGGCATGTTTTATTATTCTATTGAGCGTTTAGATTTCGGTTTCATTTCCAATTCTACCTCAGTACGCTAGCAAATCATTTCCTTTTTATACATCCGCGGTTTAATCAGTGAGGAGAGAGAAAATCAAGTGAGGAATCTACACTGATTACGAATTATGTGCGAAAGGAAAAGATTATGGGTATTGTAAGAGAAGGGTAGTTTCCGTTAATCGGGATAGTTCCCAAAATTTTAGACAAGTTAGAAATCGAAGGAAGGATTGAAAGAATACATATGGAAATGACAAATCTGTGAGAATACTGAGAATCATATTAAATATCAAAACACGCTGTCACTCAACTCCCGAAGAAGATCATTAACTAATATTTCCATGAAGTTGCATAGAATCGTAAGTCAAAACATTATTCACATGGAATAGGTTTTCGACTAAAAAAAAAAAAAAAAGATGGCGGAAATTGTTTTTAGACGACTGTCTAATATGGGTATCGCATGTCTTTCTAATATTTTATAATTTTTTAATTTAAATTTTATTTAATTAATCTGTGGGATGGAGTACAAAAACGGATATTTTAAAGTATACAAAATACGTAAAATAAAAGGGAAGGAAACATATAAATTAATTATTCAGCAGAAGTGGTGACTCAAAAAAAAAAAAAAAAAAAATTAAAACAAATAAAAAAAAATAAGAAAGTAATGACAGAAAAAGTTGAAGCTGTACACATATTTATGTTGTTGTCCTCAATTTAAATATGAAGTGCGGTGTACGATATTCACCTAAATTTTTTTTATCATATCTTTTTCTCTTATCTACCTCATTACGGTGAGTAATCTTCTTTTTTAACTTATACTTCATCTTCCACTCCTTTTCATATATATATATATATATATATATATATATATATATACACGCACTTATAAAATGTCCGCTTTTAAAACCGTAATAGATTTTTTATAAAACTCAGAACTTGTGTAACTGCTGACACGTTTTCTATTCTATATTAAGACCCAGGTTGAAGTCTTCAAGCAGAGGATATAATTTTATAACAAGTCAATATAATGAAACAAATAAAAGTGAAAAGTTCAATGTGAAATATATTTAAAATTTCTAGTGAGGATTTTAATTTGCCCTTATTATGAGTGTTCAGTATGCTTCATTTAATTTCCATTATACAGGAGTTTCTTTGAACTTTTCTGTGTTTCCTCAAAGAATGAAAAACGCAGCATGAAAACATCGGCATTGGTTTCAGCAGACATGATTCAGGGTCGAGTGAAAAATAATACGACGATTCTGTTCTACTTAAAAGAGAAATTTGTGATAATGTCTGTTTTTTCTTTTTTTTTAAATCCACTCTCGTTTTTCACATTTTTATTTAACCTTTTATGCAATGGATGCATTTGAAATTGTAAACGAACGGAAACTGTTACTGAGAGAAAATATATATATATATATATATATATGTGTGTGTGTGTGTGTGTGTCTGTGTAATCTTACATATTACAAATAGTGTTTGCGGCCATATCACGTTCAAACATCAGTTCTCATATGATAAACGAATTTAACGCAACGTGAATGGGTGAAAATTTGCGAATAACAGGTATTGTAAGCTTGGAGATACGAGTGGTGTAATGGATAAAGGCTAGGAATTAGAAATCAAACTGTCGAGTTCCAATCCTGGTCGGAGCCGGTATTTTCACTTACGCGCAAATACCCTTGAATCCAGTTTTTCTTCACCCAGCTATAGGTTAATTAGTAAAACTTGTATCAGTAAGTTATTATTATCACAAAAAGAAATAAATTCTTACAAACTAAAAATATTTTCTGGCTTTAAATAGCCTCCTAACGGTTAGCCGTAAAAAACAAATAAAATAATCAAAAGATTTGACAGAAATCGCTTGACCAGTGTATCTCTGGAATTTAATGTTCATTTATCTGAGTTCCGAAGAATGCTCACCAGGAAAACTTAATGTTAAATTTACAAACCAAGTCTCCCGTTTAGCGCATTTCCGGAATATATATATATATATCTCCTCGAGGCGGTGTAATGGTTAGCCAGCTTGCCTCGCTAGAACAATTACAACTGAGTCGTGAGCTCGATCCTCACTGGGTGCCCCATACTTTCGGCCTTGTGCCACATCGGAGCTACGCTTGGAAAATCACTATATATATATATATATATAGGAGGCACGGTAGAGTAGTGGATAGCGGCTGGAATTGAGGAATCAGAATTCAATACCCTTGAGAAAGGTGTGAATCCTCTTTTTCTCCCTCCAGCTATGTGTAAATAGCAGCAAAGACTGGGTTCTATAGCCTTGGATAGCAACTGGTCTAGGAGAAGGACAACTCTGAATTCAAAACCTGCGGAGGGTCGTTTGGGGACCTTGTGGCGTGTAGGTCTCTGTATTCGACCCTTCAAAAAGAGGGTTTGGTTCTGCAGAAAGTCTTCACTACTATAATCAAGACATATTTCTAGGAACTGACCTGCTTGACACTCATACATCGAATACGACGGGGAGTGTCCGCCACATATATATATATGTGTGTGTGTGTGATGGCGTCGACTCTTTTGACAAGTGGTTCATGTCAGAAATTGTAGCGTTTCTTCATCTTTTTTGTGGTTTTTGTTTATTTCCCCTCTGACAATCTTGTTTTGTATACAAATAATGTAAATACATGAAGGTGTACTTCAGGGTTTTATCTGTACGCTTGTAAAATACACCTGATGAAAAATTTTATAAACGTGCAAATGTATGCGGTGCCTCTGAAAAATAACTCCTAAGATTTCCCGCGGATAACGAAAGTCTTTCTATCAAATTTTTATACTGTTGTTCACCCAATACAAGGCTCAGAAGCCACTCAAGTTAGTGAATAAAAATGCATAAACGAAGTAAGAAGTAAATAGTATTAGCATATCGAGGACAGATAACAGTTGACGGAAGAGGTTAAGAGAGTAGTGAACGGAGAAGCATCCTCTTGGGAGTCTGCTCCAAATAAGTAATACTTCTGAAATTAGTGAAATGTCCTTCTTGCAAGTGGAATACAACAGGAATGACGAGGATTCGATCCTGTGTACGAAGCATGGGGTTTATCTGAACATTTAACAGTTAAGATAAGTAATTCCTCGTTCACAAGGGCGCATAATCGCCTTTCAAGGCTAGACTGCTAGAAACGGACAATGTTATTTTATTCTTTTTAATCTGATCTGACACTTTTGGTGGGGAGGAGTCAGGTAACCTCTTACAAAGAACCAACCATTTTTCCAGCATCTTTAGCGATACTAAAATATACAAGTTCCACTAGAGATCTGGAGTAAACTTTAGTCCAATTAGTCAAGAAGCCTTAGTGAGAGTACAAACGTTCATTAGGTGTGAAGTAATGTGTGTTCACTGGTGACGAAAACTTACGAGCATTGTTTTGAAGGTATTGAATGATACAATTTATTCTTTCGACATA